TTCAAAATATATATGAAGTAAATACTGATAGACTTGCCCAGACAAACCCACAATTATAGTCAGAGATTTTAATACTCCTCTTTCAATAATTGATAGAATAAGTAGACAAAAACTCAGTAAAGATAAAGAAGATCTGAACAACCAATTTGACATAAGTTATAGAATACACCACCAAACAACAACAGAATACACACTCTTTTCAAGTGCACATGAAACATTTACCAAGATAGATCATATTCTGGCCCATAAAACAAGTATCAATAAATTTTAAAGGATTCAAGTCATACAAAGTATGTTCCCTGAGTATAGTAGAATTAAATTAGAAATAAATTACAGATATCTGGAAACTCCTCCCCTGTATTTGCAAACAAAATAAGACACTTCTAAGTAACGCATGAGTCAAAGAAGAAATCAAAAAGAAAATTCAAAAGTACTTTGAGCTGAATGAAAATAAAAACATAACATATCAAAATTTGTGAGATGTTGTTAAAGCAGTACTTAGAGGGAAATTTAGAGCATATAAACCTACAGATTCAAAAAGTTGAGTGAACCCTACCTAAGGGGAATAAACACAAAGAAATCTATGCCAAGACACATCATACTCAAACTTCAGGAAATAAAGACAAAGAAGAAACCTTGGAAGCAAATAGAGAGAAATAACACATTACTTATAAAGGAATAAAGATGTGAAATTACAGTGGATTTCTCATCAGAAACCATGGAGACCAGAAGGAAATTGCACAACATTTTTCAAGTGCTGAAAAAAACCTTGTTAACTCTAAATTCTATACCCAGCAAAAATATCCTTCAGAAATGACAGTGAAATCAAGACATTCTCAGATTAAAGAAAACTAAGAGAATTTGTCACTAGCAGTCCTACTCTAAAAGAATGGCTAAAGGAATTTCTTTATATAGAAAGGAAATTATTTTAAAAAAAGAAAGCGTGAAACCTCATGAATGAAGAAAGCAACAGAGAGTAAAAATTCGGGCCGCCCCGTGGCTTAGCGGTTAAGTGCGCATGCTCCGCTACTAGCGGCCCGGGATAGGATCCTGGGCGCGCACCGACGCACCGCTTCTCCGGCCATGCTGAGGCCGCGTCCCACATACAGCAACCTAGAAGGGTGTGCAGCTATGACATACAACTATCTACTGGGGCTTTGGGGGGGAAAAAAAAAGGAGGAGGATTGGCAATAGATGTTAGCTCAGAGCTGGTCTTCCTCAGCAAAAAGAGGATTAGCACGGATGTTAGCTCAGGGCTGATCTTCCTCACAAAAAAAAAAAAAGGAGTAAAAATTAAGGATAAATAACAATATACCATCCTTCTCCTCTTGAGTTTTATAAATAATGTTATGTGGTTGAAGTAAAAATTATAACATTGTCTGATGTTTTCAATGTATAGAGAGGAAATACTTAAGATAATTATAGTATAAAGGAATAAGGGAAAGGGACCTAAATGGAGGTAAGATTTCTACACTTTATTAAAACTGGTAAAATGTTGGCACCAGTAGATTGTGATAGGTTTTGTATATATAATGTAATATATACAGCAACCACTAAAAGATTTACATAAAGAGATATACTTAAAAACTTTATAGATAAATCAAAATAGAATTCAAAAAAATGTTTAAGTAACCCACAGAAAGGAAGGAAAGTGAAAGAGTGATGAAAATTAAGGATAAAACAAAAAACAATAAAATGGCAAATGTAGCCCTAACATATCAATAATTATATTAAATGTAAATGGTTTAAATATACCAATTAAAAGACAGAGATTAGCAGAGAAAATAAAAAACAACATGACCCAACTATATGCTGTCTACAGGAAACTCACTCCGAATTTAATGATATAGGGAGGTTGAAAGTAAAAGGATGAAAAAATATATACCACCAAAGAAAAATATTGGGGATGAAGATGGACATTGCATAATGATTAAAGGGTCAATCCACCAAGAAGACATAACAATCCTAAATGCGCATGTATCAAACAACTGAGCTTCAAAATACATGAAGCAAAAACTGATAGAAGTAAAAAGAAAAATAGACAAATCCAATATTATAGTTGGAGACTTTAATACCCCTCTTTCAACAATTGATAGACTTACTAGAAAGTCAGCAAAGATATAGAAGAACTTAACATCATCATCAACCAATTGAATCGAACTGACACTTATGAAACACTCCACTCAACAATTCACATCCACAATAATAGAATTCACATTCTTTTCAAGCACCTATAGGACACTCACCAAGATATACCACATTTGGGCCATAAAACAAACTTCAACACACTTAAAATAATTGGTATGTTTTTTAACCATTCTATTTTTCACCACTGTATATCCTATGAATATCAGATCTGATGTTTATATTGGATTCTGAACACCACACATACAGCCTGGCAAAAAATTAGAATTCCTTCTATGCCTATCCACTTTTCTTATAGCACAAAACTCCTAGTCCTAGGCTCTAAGTTATAGCTCTTGAACAAGACCCACCTCCAGTAGAGAGCTGAGCTTACTACCTCTGACACCTGCCCTTTTGGGTCCATGGTAGTTGTCTTCTCCACGTTACTTACATCTGAGATGCCCCCAAGCCCTACTCCCTCGTCTCTGGCAGAGGGAATTTTCTCATAATAATACTGGATCAACTGCTAAACCTCAGCCTTTACCACAGGCTTAAATGCAGAGCTGACCAACAGCCCCATTGGTCCTAACCATCATTATCAGGTTGTAATCCAGGTCTACAGCCCCATCTCAGCCATGTTTATTGACTTTCATGTAGTTTTGTCTAGGCAGCATAGTACAAAGCTGTGCCAAGTTTATAGGAGCATCCTCCTCCTGGCAACAACTGGACCTCATTATTCTTAGGTTGCTCTTGCTCACAGTCCTCAGTGGGGAGGACACACTTGGCTTTCCCTGAGTCTGACTGAAGGCTGTCCAACACCTGCAGAACAGAGGTCAAGGTACCATGTGGCACTCTCCTCCCTGTGCTGCTGCCATTCCAGAGTCCTTGGAGCTGGTGGGTGCAGGGGTTTGTGGCTTTCACACATCCCAGCCTGTAGAGCTGCAGCTGCAGGGCCAGGCATCAGTTTGGTAGTCAGCTTGCTCCAGGGCTTCCCTCAGTGCCAGGTCTATTAGATCCTGGGTAGAAAGGCCATGTGGATGAAGCCAGGCAGGAAGTTTAGGAGCTAGGTCTGGCAGAACCAGGAGTCTGCTGAGGGTGGCTGGGATGCCATGGACAAGAAAAAGGACATTAGGGCCTTTGTTGGGTTCCATATGAAATGGCAGCCATACCATACAACACGTAGCAGTAAAGGATCAGACTTTGCTGAAGCGGGAGTTAGAAAACAAACTGTTTCATTCATCCCTCACCTCCAGGCTTCTGTACCTTTTAGGTTAGAGCCCATGAAATAGGAAATGGAACTCAATGATCCCACTTGGTCTCTCCCATTCCCAGCTCACTAGGGACTTCCTCCGCTTTTCTTTCTATTTTTCTCCTCTTCACTTTCTACTTAAATATGAAAGCCCCAAATTACCACTTAGTCAGATGTGAGCCTTCCGAGCAGGTTGTTCCACTCCCAGTACTGTCTCATGGAAGGGGAACAGAGGGAATGGCTGCTTGACTCTATGATCAGTAATGGACACGACTGTGGCAAACAACTGCACATTTGTACTGGGGTGTCATGCTCACACCTCCCTTGAAGAGAACATGCAGTGAAATGTCTGTTCAGTTGACTGCCTTAGGATTCCACTCCTTAGGATCTTCTGCAGTGTTCACACGAACATCACTCTCTCCAGGTTACTCTGAGCCAGTGACTGGTGGAGGGTGCGAGAGCCAGCCCTTGTCTGCAGATATGGGACTCCTCAATCAGACAATCTTTGCTTGGGGCTCTGAATCAGCCTCGCCAAGATTTTTTGAGAGCAGCACTGCAATTTTTCCCTTTCTCCTTTCATAGGTATCTGACCATCATCATGGTCTATAGGCTCTCCCAATCCATGCCTGTTCAATCTCTCCTTTATCCTTCAAAGGCATTTCCTCTAATAAATCTCTTGCATTTCTAATTCCACCTAGACCTCTTCTTCCTAGAGGACCTGAACTGACACATGTACTGACTGATCAGAGGGTGTCTAGTTATCAGACACTCCCTAATAGTATGAGATTTTTTTCTCTCGACATTATCATTATTTACCTCTCCCTCCCACATTCCCACTCTAGTTCAGACAGAAACCCAGAGAGACAGAGTGAGGAGAAATCAGATGGCTGTGACTCAAATATGTAAAAATAGCTCTTTACTGTTTTTCTCATTTAAAAATTTCAAAAGTAAATAAATGGAAAAGGATAGCAATATTTCTGGTGCCTAATCACAGTAAATGGTCTATACTTAATTAAAAAACTGGCAGAAGAAATCGAGACTGGAAGTTTCAAAGAGGACTGGAAGATCAGGACCCTTTCAGGGCTTTTCTTGGAAACACAGCCACTGGGGACAGCAAGACACAGCAAAGAAGCATAGCCCGGCTCATGATAAGTCAGCAGGACAGCCCTGCTGGAAAGAAGCAGTGCTCAGGGGACGTTAGCATCATGGCAGCGTGAGTTGTTCCCTTTGTCTCTCCCCTTTAGGTTGCAACCAGTAGGGCATCCATAACCCAACAAAGGATCCTCTGACCAGTATACCAGAATGCCTGAGAGATCCACGCATCTATAAATCTGAAGGTGGGTGGACTGGACCTAGTGGAGGCGGTGGAACCAAGGGAGCAGCAGTGGTGGCTCCTGAGACCAGAGGCTCCAGGAACCACCACGTGCCCGCAACTGGAGACTCCAGGAACCACAGCAGCGCCCATGACCCAGCCTCCCCGACCTCTCCTGGCAGTGGTGGGAGAGCCTGTGATTCCAGCTCTCCCAGCAGCGGTGGTGGCACCTGCGACCTGAGGCTCCAGGAACTGCGGCGGTGCCCACAACCCAGGTACCCACTCCTCTGTGGAGGCAGCAGTGGCACTTGTGACCCCAGCTCACCTGGCAGCGGCAGCAGTGCCCATGAACCTGGCGCCCAGTGGCAGCAGCAGTGCCAACATCCCCAGAAAACCCAGTAGCAGCAGCGCCCAAGGCCACAGGGAACCCGGCAGAAGCAGCGGCAGAACCCCCAACCCCAGTGACCCCCAGCTGCAGCGGCAGCACCTGCGATTCTGACAACCCCGGATGCAGCGGAGGTGCCCATGAGCCCAGGTCTCACTCTACCCTCCCCACATAGTGGTGAAATCCGCAACCCAGGCGACCCTGGAAGCAGCAGAGATGCCCACCATCCCGGTAACTCTGGTGATAACACCCATGATCACAGCGACATTGGCAGCAACAAGGCACCAGCATTGTTGGAGGAACGAGCAGTGACAATGAAGGCACTGACAACACCTCTGGCAGAGGCAGTGGAGGGTGTAAAGCACTGGCTCTCAAATATAATCAGAGACAGCTCAGGTAAGAGAAACCAAAAACTTGTGCTATAGAGTCAGCTACTGGAAACAAAAGAAAGGCCTCTAATTACCAAGCTGTTGAATTATTAGAATCAAAGTAAACAAAGTCTTACCTAAATAAGAAAGGGGATCACTACTACAAATGTGCCAGCAGAGGAACAACTCATCAAGCACCATGAAAAACTACTGCAACACGCTATCACAAAAAGAAAATGACAACTCTCCAGAAACCAAACCTAAATTCACAGAAGATTGCGATCTAACTGACAGAGAATTCAAAAGAGCTGTTATGAAGAAACTCAACAAGCTACAAGAAAACTCGGAAAGACAATTCAAGGAGCTCAGGAATAAAATTAATGAACAGAAGGAATACTTTACCAAAGATATTGAAACTCTAAAAAAGAACCAAAAAGAAATAGAAAATCTAACTAGATTGATCACTAGTAAGGACATTTTGAAACAGTAATCAAAAACCTCCCAAAAAATAAAAGTCCAGGACCAGATGGCTTCACTGGTGAATTCTACCAAACATTCAAAGAAGATTTAATACCTATTCTTCTTCAACTCCTCCAAAAATTTAACAGGAGGGAATGCTTCCTAATTCATTTTATGAGGCCAACATTATCCTGACCCTAAAACCAGACAAGGACAACACACACACACAAAATTAGAGGCCAAGATCTCTGATAAACACAGATGCAAAAATTCTCAACAAAATACTACTAAATCGAATACAACAGTATATTAAAAGGATCACACACCACGATCAAGTGGGATTTATTCCAGGGATGCAAGAATGGTTCAACACAAGCCAATCAATCAATGTGATACACCACATTAACAAACTGAAGAATAAAACTCATACAATCATCTCAACAGATGCAGAAAAAGCATATGACAAAATTCAACATCCATTTGATATAAACTCTCAATAAAATAGGTATAGAAGGAAAGTACCTCAAAATAATAAAGGCCATATATGACAAACCCACAGCTAACATCATACTCAATGGTGAAAAACTGAAAATGTTCTCTAAGATCAGAACAAGACAAGAATGGCCCTTCTTGCCACTTTTATTCAACAGCACTGGAAGTCCTAGCCAGAGCGATCAGGTAAGAAAAAGAAATAAAAGGTATCCAAACTGGAAAGGAAGAAGTAAAGCTGTCACTATTTGCGGACATTATTTTATATGTAGAAAACCCTAAAGATTCTATAAAAAAAACTACTAGAAATAATAAACAAATACAATAAAGTTGGAGGGTACAAAATAAATATATAAAAATCTATTGTATTTTTACACACTAATAATGAACTATCAGAGAAATTAAGAAAACAATCCCATTTACAATCACAACAAAAAGAATAAAATACCTAGGAATAAATTTAATCAAGGAGGTAAAAGACTTGTACGTTGAAAACTATAAGATATTTCTGAAATAAATTCAAGAAGATACAAAGAAATGGAAAAATATTCTGTGCTCATGGATTGGAAGAATTAACATTGTTAAAATGTCCATATTACTTAAAACAATCTACAGATTCAATACAATCCCCATCAAAATTGTAGGAATTGTACAATTCCTACAAAAAGGATAGAGATTCAATACAATCCGTATCAAAATCCCAACAGCATCTTTCACAGAAATAGAAAAAAATCCTAAAATTTGTATGAAACCACAAAAGACCTTTAATAGCCAAAGCAATCCTGAGAAAAAAGAACAAAGCTAGAGATTTGTTCATTTCCTGACTTCAAACTATACTACAAAGCTACAATAACCAAAACAGTATAGTATTGGCAGAAAAACAGACAAAGAAATCAATGAAACAGAACTGAGAGCCCAAAAATAAACCCACACATCTATGGACAGCTAATTTTCAAGAAAGGAGCCAAGAACATACAGTGGAGAAAGGAAAGTCTCTTCAATAAACGGTGTTGGGAAAACTGGACAGCCACATGCAAAAGAATGAAACTGGACCACTATCTTATACCATACACAAAAATTAACTTAAAATGGATTAAAGAGTTGAATGTAAGACCTGAAACCATAAAACTCCTAGAAGAAAACATCAGCAGCACACACTTTAACATCGATCTTAGCAATATCTTTTTGGATATGCCTCCTCAGGCAAGGGAAACAAAAGCAAAAATGAACAAATTGGACTACATCAAACTAAAAAGCTTCTGCACAGCAAAGGAAACCATCAACAAAATGAAAAGATAACCTACTGAACAGAAGATATTTGCAAATCATGTATCTGATAAAGGGTTAATATCCAAACTATATAAAGAACTCATACAACTCAACAAAAAAACAAACCACCTGATTAAAAAATGGGTAGAGGATCTGAATAAACATTTTTCCACAGAAGACACAGAGATGGCCAACAGGCAAACGAAAAAACGTTCAACATTACTAAGGGAAATGCAAACCAAAACCACAATGAGGGCCGGCCCCGTGGCTTAGTGGTTAAGTGTGCGCGCTCCACTGCTTGGCGGCCTGGGTTCGGATCCCGGGCGCGCACCGATGCACTGCTTCTCTGGCCATGCTGAGGCCGTGTCCCACATACAGCAATTAGAAGGATGTGCAGCTATGACATACAACAATCTACTGGGGCTTTGGGGGGAAAAAAATAAATAAATAAAATCTTTAAAAAAAAAACAAAAAACCACAATGAGATATCACCTCATGCCTGTTAGAATGGCTATTATCAAAAAGACAATAACGAGTGTTGGAGAGGATGTGGAGAAATGGGAACCCTCATACACTATTGGTAGGAATATAAATTGGTGCAGCCACTATGGAAAACAGTATGGAAATTCCTCAAAAATTTAGGAACAGAAGTGGATCCAGCTATTCTACTTCTGAGTATTTATCTGAGGAATACGAAAACACTAAATCAAAAATATGCACCCCTATGTTCACTGTACCATTATTCACAATAGCCAAGATATAGAAACAATCTAAGTGTCCACTGATGAATAAATGGATAAAGACGTGGTGCGCGCGCACACACACACACACACAATGGAATACTACTCAGCCATAAAAAAGATGAAATCTTGCCATTTGTGACAACGTGGATAGACCTTGAGGGTATTATGCTAAGTGAAATGTCTGATGGAGAAAGACAAATACTGTATAATTTCACTCATATGTGGAACATAAAAACAAAACAAATGAACAAGCAAAACAAACACAGACTCATAGAAAGAGGGGCTGGCCTGGTGGCACAGTGGTTAAGTTTGGCGTGCTCCACTTCGGTGGCCCAGGGTTCGCAGGTTCAGACCCCAGGCACAGACCTACACCACTCATCAAGCCATGCTGTGGCAGCATTCCACATACAAATTAGAGGAAGATGGGCACAGACGTTAGCTCAGGGCCACTCTTCCTCAAGCAAAAAGAGGAAGATTGGCAACAGGTGTTAGCTCAGGGCCAACCTTCCTCACACACACACACACACACAAAAACTCTTAGAAACAGACAACAGATTGGTAGTTACCAGAGGGGAAGGGCAGTTGGGGGAGGGCGAAATGGGTAAAGGGGATCAACTTTATGGTAAGATGGAAACTAGACTTTTGGTGGTAGGTACACTGTAGTATATACAGATGTCAAAATGTAATGTCGGACATCTGAAACTTATATAATATTATAAACCAATGTTACTTCAATAAAAAAAAGCAGCAGTGCTCAGGTTGGGACGTGGGGAAAGGCTCGGAATGAAGAAACACCCAGACTGGTCAGAACTAAAAAATGTCTTAGCCCTTGGAAACTTCAGTTACCCTAGACATAGCTTCACTCCTACCTCTAGAGGTGGTGGGAGAAAAAAATAAAGTCAGAGAAATAAGACAGTCCAAACGCATCCTTTACCTAGGGCTCTCCCTGATCTGATTGGCTATTTTCTGAATCTCACTTTCACCCTCCCTCAGCTGGAAACAACAGGGAGCCAGAAAGCTGATGGTTTCCAAGAGTAGGGAAGGACAATATTTATCCATCTCTTTCTTGCCCAGGCTTTGTCCTCCCCTCTGCGCCACGCTGACAAACGCTTTTTTCTCCCTCTGTGGCTCCTGCTGCTTCTTGCTGCATACTTTTGTCACCCTAAAGATTTATCCTAGGCAAAGGATCTTAAGGTGAGAACGTTTTTCTGTGTCTTCTATAATGAAAGCAGGAGAAAAGGGAAGGCTGATGGTCTCTTTTAACCCTAATAGTTAAAAGTTCTGAGCCAGCCCTAATGGCCTAGTGGTTAAAATTCGGCACTTTCACTGCTTCAGCGGCCCAGGGTTCATTTCCTAGTCGCAGAACCACACCACCCCTCCGTCAGTTGCTAGGCTGTGGCGGCAGCTCACACAGAAGAACTAGAAGGACTTACAACTGTGATATACAACCACACACTGGGCCTTTGGGGAGGGAAAAAAAGAGGAAGATTGGCCACAGATGTTAGCTCAGGGTGAATCTTTCCCTGCAAAAAAAAAAAAAAAAAAAAAAAGTTCTTCTTTCAAGAACATAGTGGGTGGAGGGCTGAGGTACGTAGAGAGATGGCAAGTCAGATCAACACTGGCAACTTGTAATTTTACATGTTTAATTCAACACCAAACGCAAACCAAACACATTCATCATCTGGAGAGTACTGCATCCCAACCCTACCTGGACTGCAGGAATTGGGCTCAATCTGGTGTCTAGGAGGTGATCATAGGAAAGAAAATGAGGATGGGAGCATCTGGTGCCTTTTAAAAATGGTGCAACACCCCCACCAATCATGTCACAAAGCTCCCCATCTGATGCTGTGACCCACGTCCAGCAGAAAACCAAGAAGAACAGACCTATAAGAGGGGTCTAAGTTGCCTTCTATATTTCACCTGCTCCTCTCTTTTGCTAAGGGGCATGAATAAACCAAAGAAATGGTTCCTAGAAGAAGAGGAGTAAGTCTCCAGAGAGCTACTGAGGCATACTGATAAAACTGGGAGAAGCAAGAAGTGACTGTAGAGGAGTCCAACACTGTTGCCTGAACCTCCCAGACCCTAAATCCACGGGAAGCCCAGGACTCCACTGCTTCTGTCAGAAGGAGGAGTTTCTGGGTCCTGTGTGAGCTCCCTACTCTGATTTAAATTCACCACCTAAAGACAGGTCTATCTCTATCCCCAGGCTTCTGGCTCTTCAGTCGTTCTCATCTTCATCCTCAATGTGAAACCGTTTCTTCTTTTGGATTCCTGGAGCTCCCGACTCTGGTGCTATGGGAACGACAGGGGGAGAAGAGAGAGACTGTCTAAATATGTTAAGGGGGAAGGAGGGTGGGAGCGTTTATCTTCAGGATCAAAGAGAAGAGTGCTAGAGGTTGGAAGAAACGGCAGGTCCCACCAGACTCCCTACCTTTGCTGCTGCCCTCATCTTCCTCCTGCTCCTCATCGCTGTCCAGCAGCTGTCGCTTCTTGGGGGCCACTTTCAGCTGCTCTTTCTCACCAGCAGTCACTTCCTCTGAAATGACCATATGAGGCATAAAATTAGGAAATAGGCCCTCATATTCTCAAAATACTCTATCAGCCCTCTAGATCAACATGGCTGGCACACAGTAAATAAACACTCAATAGATAAGTGGTCCTGCCATTACCCTCTGGGGACACCAGGCCTGCTTTCTTTTTTCGGGCTAACAGGAGGGCCCTCAGTGCTTGTGCTCGATGCTCCTTTTGATGATCCTCTTGGTGCTCCTCCCCAGGGCCTTGTTCTGCAGGGACTTTAGGTTCTAGCCCTGGCTGAAGCTTTTCCTCTTCCTCTGATTGACTCAAGGAAGCTGCTACTCTCCGGAGCTGGGTGGGACTCAGCTTGGCTGGAATTCGCCAGAAGGTTTCCTACAGGGGCAAAGAAGTTGAAAATGAGAGTAATGGGAAAGGGCCAGCCTCTAGTTCACCAGATTTTTTTCTTTGAGGAAGATTAGCCCTGAGCTAACATCTTTTGCTAATCCTCCTCTTTTTGCTGAGGAAGATTGGCCCTGGGCTAACATCTGTGCCCATCTTCCTTTACTTGATATGGGATGCCGCCACAGCATGGCTTGATGAGTGGTGCATAGGTCCATGCCTGGGATCCAAACCTGCGAACTCCGGGCCACCAAAGTGGAGCACACAACCTTAACCACTACACCACCGGGCTGCCCCCTAGTTCACCAGATTTTGATATTATTTTATTTTTTCTTGCTGAGGAAGATTCACCCTGAGCTAACATCTGTGCCAGTCTTTCTCTATTTTGTATGTGGGTTGCCTGCCACAACATGGCCACCGATGAGTGGTGTAGGTCCATGCCCAGGAACTGAACCCAGGCTGCGGAAGTGGAGTGTGCTGAACTTAACCACTAGGCCATGGGGCTGGCCCCTTAATATTATTTATTGAATAAATATGACCCTACATTGGTGAGGATCCACAAGGGTTGTGAAATCTACTTACTGCTTATTTATCCAATATATATGGCAATGTCTAGCATGATGCCTGCTACATTAAGAGGTTCCCGGTAAATATAGTTGCCAATTAAATAAATGAATGGATCCTAGGAATCTAAAGGTGAATCAGATATGATCTCTGCCCTCAAGAACTCATAATCTAACAGGAGAAAGAACCACTGTGCTGTAACACCATAGGATTGGGGTGCTGTCAAGAGAATGAACAAGTCCCAGCTGCCTAAGTGGTTACTTTCACTTCAGGAGTTGAAAGAGTGGTAGGGACCGCTTCTTTGAGGAGGTGGCAACTGAACTGACTCTTGCAGGCTGGGTGGAGCTTCATCAGGAAGATGGGTGATGTGTGTGTGGTTGGAGCCTTCCAGAGAAGGGACTGGCATGGTCAACTGTTTGGAGGTATGAGAAAGTCTACTGTGTGGAGGATGGAAAGAAGTCCAGGAAGACTATGGCGAGGATAGGTGTGTGCTGGTGTGGCTGTGAGGCTTTAAAGATTGGCCAAAGGCAAGGCACACCACTCAGAGGCAGTGGACTCTGTCCTACAAACAGTGGGGAACCATCAAGTGCCCTGGACAGAGAAGTGATATAATCAACACTATGTTTTAGAAAGATAACTTGGGGCAGTGTGGAAGATGGACTCAGGGGTAGGGGAGACTGGAGAGAGGAAGACTAGCAGGATGGCCGCTGCAGGAGCCTCGGTCAGAGGTGAGAGGAAATGAGGACAGAGATCACAACTGCAGTGAGGAGGAGACGTGTTTTGAAATAGCACCGACAGGCCCTGGCTGACACTGTAACTGGTGTGTTTATTTACCTGCCCAGAGGCAGGAGGCCGAACCCCTAGCTTGCGCAACAGCTGCTGAAACTGTTCATTTTCCAATGCTTCTTCATTTTCTTCTGTCAGCGGCACCAACGGAACTGCCTGTGAGCAGCCTAGGACGGGGTTAATAGTCATATGGTGAGGAAAGAGCTGGTCCTTATCCCACGACCAGGTCTCCAGCAGCCTTCAGTGCCCCAGTCCTCCCGAAACCATCATTTATCCACTCACCATCTGCTTCCCGATCATCTGCTACTCGAATCAGGCAGTTCTGGAGCCATAGGAGCGGAGCAGAAAAGCCTAAGGGAAGGAGGGAAACTTCTAATTGGCCCATGTGCCCAACCCCTCCACCTGAGACATCTCCCCCAGCCCACGCCCTCACCTTCCTGATGTAGGCTTTGCCCAAGATTTTCAGTTGAAAGGACTGTGCTACCCTGGGCTTGTTCTGTTTCTGAGCCCTCATCTTTCTCTTCATCCTCTTCACTCTCTTCCTCTGGCAGGTTTTCCTCTTCTTCCAGATCTTCCTGGCAAAAATCTTTCAGGGACTCCTCTCCATCAGGCTAAAATTCATTGGGGTAGGAAATAAAAAGGGAGACAACATGAGGAACCGAGTAGAATCCTCGGTTCCTGACCACCCCACCGAGGGGACCTCATCTAAACAGCCTGACACAGGAAGAATCTGGGTGGGCTACTTCTAAGGAGCACTTCAGGGGGAGGGGCCCATGCCAGCAGAGTCAGGGTAAGATTGTTACCAAACTCGAGGGCGCCAACTTCTTCCGGCGTTTCTTATATAGCTCCCGCCGCTCGGCCACCAGCCCCAGAGCCAGCAGTTTGTCCACTATTCGGGCCCGTGAGCGTTTGGCTGTGATGTTCTTCATGATATGACCCAGGACATCTATAGAGAGGGAAAGTGTAAATACCCGAGAGCAGCGGGGGAAAGAGATTAGTAAAGGAAATCAGAGGTCTTTGGAAAGAGGCCAGCTCAATTCACTCAAAAATGACACCACAAATACGGTAAGTGGACAGAAGCAATGGGATAAGCCTTCCTTGGGAACAGAAGGCAGGGGAAAAGAAATGCACAGCTTGGCTCTCATCCCAGAGGTTCCTTGAGCCTCCACCTCACTTACCATCTGAGTCCTGGAACTCCTCAAAAAGCCGCTGCAGCTCCATCTCCTGATCTTCTGTCCACAGTACGATACGGGTTCCTTTCCTGTTTAGGGAGGTGTCAGTGGAAGAGGAGGCCCAAGGAGTGAACAGAGGATTCCCCATCTTGGCTCCCTCCAGAGTATGTGCCTCTACCTTTGGAAGTCCTTGACACTGTCAGCCAGTCCCAGCCGTACCAGATGGTGGATGATCTGCTTGCGTGTTCGAGGGACAGTATTCAGATTTGCCAAGATGGCGTCCACCACATCCTGACCTGAGGTGGAGGAGCAGTGGAGGTAAAGAGAGGTCCCGGAGCTCAGGCTGCCCTCCTTATCAACTCTGCAGATCTCAAGGCCGCATACCTTCCACATCCTTATGGGAGTGATACAGTTCCTGAAGCTGGGCCTCCTCCTCTGGGCTCCACACAGGGTGTCTGCGACTAGCAGATCTAAATGGGGAAAGGGGCGGGGGAGCATGTATGTTGCTGGCCCAAAAAGGGAGGCCAAAGGCCCTTTCTGGTCAGTTCTAAAAGGAACAAGGACAACACAGGTACCTCAAAGGAGCCAGCTAGCAGAGGCCGAAGGTGTGCGTCCTACCCTCCCTCTCCTTCCACTTAACCCAAAAGTCAAACTAAGAGGTTTTCCAGGTTGGGCCTATGGAACCTGACACCATAGGGTCTAAGAGTATATGGAAAAAAGAGAGAAGTATGAAAGGAGAGGAGCTGAGATACTAAGGGAAAGAGGACACATTTCTATGAATCCTTATGGTTTCCCAGCACATTTTGGGATGGGGCACACACAGACTCTCCCTGGGGAGCCACCCCACTCCCAACTGACCCCCCCCCATGAAGGCTGGTGAAGGAGAAAGAAACTAGAGCAGACAGGAGACTTAGGCTCCAATCCCAGGTCCTCTTGGGTGACCTTAGGTAAAGCATTTCACCTTCAGGGCCTGTTTTCTCACCTGTGAAAGGGAAAGAAAGGTTAGACTAATTGATGTGCAAGCTCTTGCATCTTTGACACTCTGTGACTGTCACTCACCCCTACAGCCCATCCTTCCCCATCCTCGTGCTCACCCGCCATCCAGGGAGCCATAGCCCTCGGTCATCTCTCGAACCACAGCTGTGTTCTTCCAGAACAGCAGCTCCATGAAGGCTTTTTGGTTGACTGCAGCCAATGCAAAGAACTTGCCCAGGATGTATTTGGCAAAAGTCACTAGTTCCTGCGGGACAGGGAGGCTGCTGTGAGGCCTCTGGCCTATATGTACACATAAACTTGGCCCCCTAGGTATTCTCTACACCTGTTCCCAGCTGCGCCCTCCTCGCTCAGACTCTCTCTATCCTTCCCCATGCAGTCCCCCAACCTGCCTGCCCACTTCCTCACCGTTCTCTCATCGCTTAGCCCTGACACCACTCGGTGCCCTTTATCTCCTGAAGACTATCACTTTACCCCAGGACCCCCCACACCTCCAAACCTATTCCTTCATGTCCCCTCACTTTGTAGGCCCCAGCAGCAGGGTCACTAAGCAGACGATTGAAGAGGCAGAAGAGTGAGAGCTGGAAAAGTAGGGCTTCCATTTTGAGGTCATGGGCCAGCCGGTGCAGCATCTTGACAACGCAGTGGTTGGTGTGGGCACTGTTCTGCCGGTAGCTCCGCAGCAGCAGCACGTAGGCTCGGATGACGGTTGAGCTTGCAAAGCTGCCCCAAGACAGGGAGGGAGGGAGAGGATATCAGTGTAAGAAAGTCACTGCTCATCCTCACAGCCCCACAAACTCCACACTGCGACCAACTCAGTTCTCACGGCCCGCACCGTTTCAGGTAGTCCAGGAAATTAAATTCTTTCTCTGACACCTGGACCACCTGCAACTCTTCCTCCTCCTCCTCTTCTTCTTCCTCTTCTTCCTCTGCCCCTCGTTCCTCTGGCCCCTGCTGCCCTATAGAAAGAGTGAGGATTACTGGGTCTCTGTGAGGCTGGTACTAGAGGAGACCTGAAAGGACAGAGATGCGAAGGAAATGGAGACTCACGGGGAAGCGGGGCACAGAGGATTTGTTTCAGCAGCTGGATCTCTTCCTCTGGGGAAATATCTTGAGAGCCAAACGCATCTCCTTCTGGCCATACCTCCCTGGAGCACAAAGAGAAAAAGGCTTTAACCAGAGAAAATCTGAGTCATAATTTGAAGTGGGAGAAGGAATTTAGACTTATTTCATTTGTTGGCCAAAAAGAGGATGCAAACTGTTACCTCAAAGATGAAACAGACTCTAGGGAAATGTTCCCTCACAAGCCACATTGCAATGAAAATCATATAAGAATAAAATGCAAACAATCTAAATGTTGACATTTGGTTGAACAAATGTAGATATTCACAAAATGGTGTTTTTAAAGCTATTAACAATTATAGAAATATATCTGATGAGAAATGATGCTCACAATATATTGAGAAGTAAAACAACTCTATAAGTCAGTATGTGTAATATTTCGTTTTTGTAAAAGTTATATATGATATGTCTATATATAACACAGAAGAAAAAATCTCTGGATAATAACTCATCAAAATGCCAATAATGGGGCCGGCTCCGTGGCTTAGCGGTTAAGTGCGCGCACTCTGATGCTGGCGGCCCGGGTTCGGATCCCGGGAGTGCCCCGAGGCACCACTTCTCTGTCCAACGCGAGGCCGAGTCCCACGTACAGCAACTAGAAGGATGTGAACCTATGACATACAACTATCTACTGGGGCTTTGGGGGGAAAAACTGAATAAATAAAAATCTTTAAAAAAAAAAAAAAAAAAAAAAATGCCAATAATGGCTATCTTTGGCTCATAGAATTATCTTTATTTTTTTTCCCAATTAACTGTGCTTTTTGATATTTCTCAAAAATAAAACAAAAACAAACAACAAAATCCCCCAATAAACCAATCAAAACTCTCTAGGACTCAGTATGCAGTGTAGAGTCCCAAGTGCTCCTGATGAGACTTCTTTCTTTTGAAGACTGAGAACCCTGTACCACAGTGAAAGCTCCTCCAGCCCCCAAAGGCTCAGGAACTGGATCTAGGAGGGTGAGCGGGCAGGGTTCTTACCGGGCAGACCTAAGGAGGGTCAGGGCCTGTGGGGCTTGGCCAGCCAGGAGACAGTCTTGGATCCGCACCATGGCTTCTGCCCGCTGCTCTTCCACTGGCACCTCTGAGGCCGCATCAAAGGGAACCGTGGAGTCCAAACTGAGCTCAGGACCCTAAAGAGGGATTAAGGCTATGGGAACAGAGAGGAGGGAAACCCAGACAGCCTACCCAGAGCACTACCCTCAAGAAAGATAGGATTTCTGCAACTACCTACCTGGGCACAGCATTGTAGCTGCTCAGCCATGGATGGCCACACAGCCTCCAGTTCCTCTGGGCTAGAGGGGACAATTCCAGAAGCAACAGGCTGGTCTAGAACTTTCTTTTTCTTTTTTCTCTTCTTTCGTTTGTTCTATGGAGAAAGATGGCAGGAGAGCTAAGGAGGCCTTTTCCCCATCAATGTCTTCTCTATTAATTAATTAAATATCTGAATTAATTAATTAGACAGTCCCAGAGTGACCACCATGTGCTACTCATGGGCAATGGGGAAGCAACAGTGAACAGCATACTTCCTTGAGGAGCTTGTTGTCTAGCTGGAGAGACAGGTAAGTAGACAGGTAAATTATATTACAGCATGGCTAAGACCTAGAATATGGCTGAGCATAAAATGCCATGGCAAAACATAGGAACAGCACTTAACTCATTTCTTGGGGTCAGAGATTTCCCAAAAGCAGTGATATCTTAAGCAGAAGTCTAAAGAATGAACAGATTTTCTATGAGGATAAGAAATTCTACATGAAAAGACTTTGTAAAATGCAAAGCAGTAGGTAAATATAACCTAAAATTTTTTCTTCTGAAAAGCAGGACAGTGAGAGTCAACACCCCAACTCTGCTCCCCAAGTCACGGCTGGGAACCTGTCTTTGGTGTGGGCAATTGTCTGGATGCCCTTGAGCTTCATGCTCTGTTCAAGGAACTTATAACTGAACACACCAAAGGTTAGGGGCATGAGCTTTGGAGTCCAGCAGATCTGGATTTAAGTATTGACACTACCCACTTACTAGCAAGACCTTGGACATGTTGCTTAACCACTCTGTGCACCTGCCCTAGCACTGTTGCAAGGATTACATGAAAACAGCATGGCATCTGACACATGGTAAACACTTGATAAATGATAGCACCTACTATTTCTGATAATGCAATAGAGCGCTGGGTGTAAAAATACCTCTTAGCAAAGTCTCATTGGTACTACTGCCCCTTTCAAGTCGAGTTCTGACCCAATTTTAAGCTGTAGCAAATAGGATTATAGGAAGATGTTTACAAAGCAGAGTCCCTGGGTCTCCAGGATACAAATTCCTTGAGATTTTCTTCTTGTCTTAGACCTTTCATTTTTATTTCATTTCAGGCTTATATTACAATCCCAACTTAAGGGATCTGGAGACTGACATGAGCAGCTTGAGTTAGTCTAACAGTAACTAAGGGGATGAGATCCCAGACCATCTGACTTTTAATTTAAGGCTCTTTCCATCTCACTACAATGCTTTGAAGTATAACCAGGAAATATCACAGCATAACTGCTAAACTCTAAAAAGTTATGAATCCCCAGAGTTTATGTGCTTAGCACATGGCAGGTGTTCAATAAATGTTTGCTGAATGACTTAAGGTATTTATGGCAGATCAGGGAATAATCTAATGGGAGAAGGAAACTATAGAAGACTCACATCAGCAACACTGACAAACCTCATGCCCTCTAGCTCAGAGCAGTTCTAACAGATCAGCTTAAGCTGCAGAAACTGTGACAGGAGAGTCCTCTGTCCTTCCCCCTCCCCTCCCAGCTCTTTCCACAGCCTGGGGCACCCAGTACCTGAACTACCAGGTTCCCACGGCTCCGACAGAACCGCTCCAACATCTTGAGGAAGAGGTGGGTGGTCTCCACCAGGTCACGAAGGAAAGAGCGGGGCTGGCACCTCTCATCAAACTTTCTGAAGAGTGCCAGGAATAGTTCTCGGTACTCCATCACATAGAAAATATTGTCTAGGAATGGGGAGGAAAAAGGAATGGAAGTACTGGTCTGGAAAGTTTGGGAAAAGGAGAGATGGATGAAGTTGGGACTGGGAAAAGTGAGTCTGGTGAAGGGATGGGGAAGGCTGGGATCAGAGAGCAGGCCAGGGCTCACTCTTGATGATGCGGCTACTCTCCCTCACAGCCTCCTCCGGGGACATGTCCATCTCATTCACTGTAGCCAGCAGCTCCTGATAGGCCTTCAGAGCCAGGTGCATCCTGCAAGATGAAGGAAAGGGGTGAAATGGAGGACAACTTAGGATACTGGCTCACAGAAACAGTACCACCTCTACCCTCCAAAAATAGTGCCATCAAAAACAGAATGACCCAGGCAGTCCTTGCTCCCCAGCCTGACGACCTTAACCCTGAAACAGGAAAGAAAGTACCATCCAGAATTCAGGCCTTCGGATTCCCACCTGGCCAAGATGCCCACTCTCACCCCAGTTCTCATCCCACTCACCGGCGTGCCCAGGAGGTGGCTTCCTTGCGGTCAGTCAGCATCATCTCATAGTAGTTGGTGAGGTTCTGCTCAATGAAGTGGAAGGTACGGACACTGAGGGTCTCAGAAACCAGGCCTGGCCGGAAGGAGGCCGCTCGGTTGAAGGCCATGAAGAAAGCCAAGGCCCACATGTAGTAGGTCTCATCGTGCTGCTGAGCCTTCTCCCGAAGCAGGTGATCCTAATGTCCAGAAAAAAAGACCATGACGCCAGGGCTTCCAACTTCCTCCTGTCCCATGATGATGGCGTAGACGCTGGGCCACAGTGTAACAACATTCTAGGACCCACAATTTCCAACCTTCTTTTGTTCTCCCCAGGTCTCTTCACATTCCTTTCCCCTTCCCCTGGGGCAACTTCTCTAGAACCTTTTTAACTGTACCAATAACCCACTCCCTCCTGACATCTTCACCATCTCCCAGGGGTGGCCTACACCCTTCCAACCTACTAGTCCACATTCCAGGCTCAGCCTCCCATAGGCTCCTCCCCAGGGTGCCCTCTTATCCACCACTGTCCCCATCGCCTCTCCATTCCCTCCTTCCTAGGCTCTCACCTTCACCGAGCCCATGAGCCGGTTATAACAGTTCTCCAGGAACTCAGAGCAGAAGTCTCTGAGGAAGAGTCTCACATTGAGGGCAGAGCGGCGCTGAATGGTCAGCTCCTGGGCAGCCTGGCGACGTTTAGGCACCCTTCGGGGCTGCTTTCCCAAATCTGAACTATAGTTTTGGAGCTGGGGGTGTGGGATGGAGGATTAGAATTACTCCTAACCACCACCCACCCCCTGCAGCTCTTTCTGCATCCCTGATGCTAACAATGTTCTCAGAAGAAAGTCTTAGAAGGTTCTCTCCCTCTGGCACTAAGTGAAGATATAGGTAAAGACAATAATGCCAGAGGTTCTATTTCTCCTACTGTCTCCAACTTTCTAAGCCCAAGAACAGAGAAGCTTTACCCCCAGAGATGCTTACCCTTCTCAGGCCCCCCAACTCGACAGTGTTCCCACCCGAGATGGGAACATACTCACATTGTGGAGACCTTTGTGAAAGATGAGGTCCCTCTCCCCAATGGACTTCAACCCCTGGACAACGTAGGAGCCCCCAAATCGAGAATGCCTGTAGCAAAAAAAAAAAGTCCAGGGTGACTCCTCAATTCTCTGGAAGCTTTATCCCCATTCTCTTTCATCAGCACATCAGAGCATGTCATAATTGCAAAATACTCTCCAGTCACCACTTAGAATTTGGCCCGAGCCCTCAGCATTCCATCGTGAAGGAACAGGAAGGTGGGTAGAGCAGCGCCCTGCCACTCACCTGTTGCCTCGCTGAAGGGCTCGAGTCTTCTTTTCTGCCATCTCTCGCTGGCGCAATGCCTCCAGTTCTACCATATCTGTGTTCCGCTCCTGAGCTAAGTGTCCCTGTCCTACTCCTGCCAACTGCTCAGGGTTCTAGATTTGGAACAAGGAGGGAAGAGTCAGAAGGGCGGTCGTTCCTTTTTCTGAGTTCACTCCTGAGGATGGAAAGAGTGTATGCAATAGGACTGTTGATGGGACCCCATACTCAAGACGTGGTTACTCAACCTGTCACCCGCCTCCACCCAGATAATTCAGTCATTATCACAAGAGCAATTCTGGCCACATAGCAGAAAAGTACACGGATGAGGGGACTAGGGCAACAGGCCAGGGTCTCACCTGGTCACGAAACATAAGGGAGACAATCTCTAGCACATGCAGGCTCCACTGCTGCTCAGCAGGCGAGCTGGCCAGGAAGAGGAGCAGGTCATCCAGGCCACTAAGATGAATCGCCCAGAGAAGCTGGTCATGGACACTGGCGTCATCATCGATCCTCTGAGCAGTGAGTGTTGAGGGGAGAAACGGGGGTCAGTCAGTTCCCCTGCCCAGCCTTGAGGTTCTTCATTCAACTCATTCCTTGACCAAGGTTCCCCCACAGACTTATCAGGGGAAAGAAAAGCAAAAAAAGGGCAGCTCAACCTAACCAAGCACAAGAACTCAGACAGCTCAAGGCCCTCTCACCTTCTCCTGATCAAGGTCAGCTGGGACATGGAGAATATTTCTGACCAGCAGCAGGATCCGCTCAATCAGCAAGTTGTCTTCCTCCTGCCGTTCCTCCCAGCCCTAGTCAGAAGAAGGATAGTTAGAGGAAGAGCAGGTGGCATCTAAGACGACAGAGGCACAGACGGGGATCAGGATTAAAAAGAAAGAAAGGAAAGAGTTCCAGCAGTCGAGGCAGCCAGAGACAATGGATTGGACTGTGTACCCACTAGGACTGGGACCATATCCCTAAACGCAGCGTGTCCTGACAATGCCCAGCCCGGGGCTCTGCCCAGAGGAAGAGCAAGGCATTAAGGGTCCTGTGGGATCTTGAACAGTGGAGACGCACTCACCAGCTGCAGCAGTTTATACAAGGTTTCACTGAGGACTCCAAAAGCCTTCTCACTGGCAAAGGCCTACGAAATAAGGGAATGGACCTTAAGTAGCATCCATCTTCTCCTTCCCTACTGCCTCCAAATTCCGCCCCAGGGACTCTGAAGGAAAACTTCACCTCTTTGTAGGCCTGCAAGTAAGCTAGCACCTGCAGAAAATGGTGCCGGAAGCTAGGCTCCTTGGGCACACTGCCAAAACAGAGCAAGGCTGGTTGTGTCAAGTTCACCATCAGCCTAGGAGACAATGAAGGAGAGAGAAGTTGTTAAGTTTCCTCACCAGGCACAAACACCAAAATCTTCAGCTCAAACAATGGCTGGCACATGATAAAAGTTAAAAAGCTGGGGAATCAACCTGATAACAGCATCAAAGAGAGGCTTGTCCTGGCGGTGTTGGATAAGGATGGGTAGAAGGTCACTCTGCAGGATCTGGGCTGCTCCCAGCTGCTGCCGCACATCTCGCATCTCATCCTCATGCCTCAAGTAGCGGATCAAATCCTTCACACTCTCTTCAGGGACAGAACAAACACTCACTGGGAGCCCTGGAAGAAGCTCCACCCAAGCCCACGTGCTTTTCACACCCGTGGCTTGAGGAATTCAACAGACTTCCTCAACTCAGGCAAGTGTTTAACCTGTTTCCTCAAAAAGGTACTCACCTAAGCAATCTGGTTCCTTGTGATAAGTGTCTCCCTCCAAGTACCCAAGGGCACTACATGTGGCTAGAAGTTCACAATTCATCATGTACAAGTTCATACATCTGTGGGCCAGCCAACAGAGAGAGAAGGTAGGTGGAGACTGAAATGACGAGGCCTGCAGAGACAGGGAAAGGTACCAAAAGTAGGGTCCTCTCCAGCAAAGGGAGAGGGGAACAGGACAAGGTCCTAATGCTCAGAATGTTCTGAACAAGACCCTCAAATGCTTCACTATTGTCAGAATCAAAAGTGCTGTTCCCAGTCCTAGGGAAAGCTTTAAGGGTTCTACCTGATCAAAACCAAAGAGGCTCCAAGACTAAGAATTAAGCACCTGCCCCATCTCTAATTCGGGTCTGAAACTATAGAAACAGTCCGTTTCAGAGTCAAGATAACCTAGTAGGAAGAAAGGTTGGTTAGAGAAAGGCATCAACCCTGCAACTTTTGCCCACAGAGAGCTCTGCAGCCTTTTGGAGGAAGGAGAGGAAGGAGTCTCCCTCTCCTTAAAAGTGCCAGACCCAGTCCCCCTCCACCTTCCCCAGACCTTCCACAAACAGTGTTACAGCTCTTATGTGCCACAGGAATTAAGAAAACCCAGCTCTGACCATATAGTGATTTCACCTAGGATCTGACATAGCCTAGGGGCCCTGAGGCACTAGGGATGCGTAGAGAAGGTTCCTTCACTCTCCTCCCCAAAGTTACTCTTAAATTTGGGTAATCTTAGTAGAAGCCAGCATCTACCAGAATGGGTGAGAAAAAGAAGTAAACAGGACCTGGTTACACTTCCTGTCACTCTCCTCAGAAGAATGCTCCTTTTCATTAAGATCCCTAAACCCTCATCAGATAAAGGCACAGATCCAGAACCCGGATTTTCAGCACCCAACACTAATAACACAGACACATACAAACACATTACATTCACTACCCTGCTCCTGTGGAAAATCGAGAATATCCATCAATCTTGACCTCTTAGCACATTCAGCGGCACTGCTCTCAGCACTTGGCAGCTTCCTCTAAAAAGACCTTTCCCTGTTCCATACCTACTTCTAGCCGCTGACTCCACCCCTGTTCCCCCACAGGAAACAGGCAGTGTCCAAAGGACTAAGGTTTAATGCCTGATGTTATCTCCCTGCATTTATGTAACTGGTCTATTTCTGGAGGCTGCCTGCTATCCCTCTACCCCCACCCAGTGCTAATCCACTGAATGACCAGGAAGACTGAAGGGAGACTTCCCTTTGCTGCCCTTTTTCAGGAGACCTGCACACCCTGAGACCTGGGCTCCCATGAGGTAGGTGCAGTGTGTGAGATCTCTGACTCTCCTCAAAGACACATTCAGCTTTTTCAGACAGACCACTAGTCTGTGTGCCCACACACACACGCACATCCAGACTGAAGGGCTTCTCTGTCGGCTATCTCCAAGTGGCAGCCTAGGAAGCTGACAAAACCTGACAGCAGAACTATCTGTAAAGATGCTGAGTCAGCACATCCTCTTCAAATTAAGACACAGCATCACATTCTGGCACTAAAAGGTGTGAAATGATAAAGTCTTCTAATGGCAGAGACAAAGCCATGTCTGGAAGGCTCCCAGACAGATAACCTCATACAGTCCTCCCAACTCCTCTCCCCCATATTTGCCTCCTCCATAGTAGACCAATTCTAAGTAAAGATTCAATATTCGTAAAATTGGCCCCAGCAGAGCACTCAAACCTCTGCTTTCAACATATCACTTTACTTGAAAGGCAAAAATAACAGGTGGTAACAGTTACCTGTTACCTGGCTACCGCAGGAAGAGGGGGAGGGGAAAGGAGGCAGAGAAGGAGCTGTCCGTGCAAATGTGAGAAGGGGGGAGGTTATGTAAGAGACCTGGGACTTCAGGTTCTAATCCCCTGCAGTTTTGACCAAACCAGACAGCAACAGGCAAAGTAGAGGAAGAAATACCTATTTTGTAAAGCTCCCAGGCCAGGGGTCATGAGGCAAGCTGGCAGCCTTGGGCCTATTCATTAGAACTGGAATAAAAGAGCTCTCACCAAGAGTTTCAGCCCTCCCTCGTGGAAACACACTATTAAAAAATCAGCCAGGGGGACCGGCCCAGTGGCGCAGCAGTTAAGCGCCCTCCGCTTTGGTGGCCCAAGGGTTCGCAGGTTCAGATCCCAGCACGCACCAATGCACCGCTTGTCAAGCCATGCTCTGGCGGCGTCCCATATAAAGTAGAGGAAGATGGGCACGGATGTTAGCCCAGGGCCAATCTTCCTCAACGAAAAGAGGAGGATTGGTGACAGATGTTAGCTCAGGGCTGATCTTCCTCACACACACACACAAAAAATCAGCCAGGGACAGAAAACCTCTCTATTCATTCAGTTAACTAGAAGCTACTCACCTAGTCTGTCTGGCCTCACCTTCCTCCCCTAGACCACTGATAATCTGATTACTTGTCTTATATCGACATCACACATACCCATCCAACCTACCACTTCTTAGATCCATGGGTTGGCTGCCTCCTCTGGCTATCTAGCCCCCCAACCCAGGAACCTAAACATATATGTCCCAAGACATAGAGCCCCCTCACACTCTCCAAACGTTTGCTCAGTTTATTCCCTCCTTCTGGAAGGTCCACCCTCCCTTAACTCCAAAAGTTCTAAGCTTATCTGACCTTCAAGATCCAGCTCAAATGCCACTCCTCCACAAAGCTTTCCCTAACAGCCCACAGCAGGACAGGATCTGACGGCATATATCACTCTATATGTACTTCCTCCTCCTCCTGCACTGAGCTACTTTTTTAGGTTATAATTACCCAGAATACATCTTTTCTCCTCCACTAAACGTTGCCTTATTTCTGAATGCACTGAATTTCTTTCATATGGGAGACGTTTAGTAAAAACCACTAAATGCAACTTGGTGTAATAGAAAGAACAGTACAATGGTCAGAAGGTGGGGTCAGAGTCCTGGCTTCATTGCCTACCTATGTGTCCTTCACCAAGTAGTCTTGGCTTCCTCATCTGAAAGATAAAGGAAAGAATACTGTGGCAGTCGTGCAGGAACCAGCTGCTGATATATAATAACATACACCTGAGGGGCTGGCCTGGCGGCATAGCGGTTAAGTTCACGCACTCCACTTCGGTGTCCTGGAGTTCGCAGGTTCGGATCCCGGGTGTGGACTGATGCACCGCTTGTCAAGCCACGCTGTGGCGGCCTCCCATATAAAGTAGAGGAAGCTGGGCACGGATGTTAGCCCAGGACACGTCTTCCTCAGCAAAAAGAGGAGGATTGACAACAGATGTTGGCTCAGGGCTGATCTTCCTCACACACACACAAAAATAATAATGTACACCTGAAATTACACAATGTTATAAACCAATATGACCTCAATAAAATAACTGGGAAAAAAAAAAGAGAGATTGCCATTCAGCTGCACAGAATGCAGTTAGCCGACACCACCTCCAGGATCCACCTCAGCCCTGCTCTTCCTGGGCAGCCCCTCAGCGAATGCCTAAGCATGGGGTACTAGGGCCTAGCCATTTCTTTCCAACAAGGACTTGTCTACCAGGCAATCCTTGCTTCAGAGTTTCCCACTGGGTTGGCCGAGACGGTCAGACCAGCCTTGTGGTTCAAGGCTCTCCCTGCCCCCAATCCTGCTCCCCTCTTAATCCTTCACAGACACACTCCTCAATAAACCTCTGTACCCCCAGCTCCATCTCAGTGTCTGCTCCCTGCAGGAGCTGAACTGACAGATACCTACCCTACCTCCCTTATATGGTTATTGTATTGTGAGAATCCAATTAAGTTACATAAAAGCACATTATAAACAGCAACAGATAACACAAAGTTGAAATAAAAATCATGGTTCCGATGCTTTTTGATTTCATGTAGCAGTATTTATCCCCCTAAACTGGGAAAACCATCTTATCTTGACTGGTAAAGATATTAAAACTAGGGATATAAAAATAAAAACAAATGCTTTTTTAAAACCCCACTAACATCTATTAATACTGTTGTTTTGGGGCTGGCCCTGTGGCGTAGCCATTAAGTGCACGCACTCTGCTGCCGGCAGCCTGGGTTTGGACCCGGGCGCACACTGATGCACCGCTTGTCAAGCCATGCTGTGGCGGCATCCCATATAAAGTAGAGGAAGATGGGCACGGATGTTAGGCCAGGGCCAGTCTTCCTCAGCAAAAAAAAAAGAGGATTGGCATGGATGTTAGCTCAGAGCTGATCTTCCTCACCAAAAAAAAAAAATACTGTTGTTTCATAGAAGAAACAGTTTAACACCAAAGTATTTATGATATAATCTCAGCTATGTCCTTTCCTTTAAGGGACATAAACAAGTCTTTATGAAGAACTCCCTAGGGCCGGCCCTGTGGCTTAGCGATTAAGTGCGTGCGCTCCGCTGCTGGCGGCCCGGGTTCGGATCCCAGGCGCGCACCGACGCACCACTTCTCCGGCCATGCTGAGGCCGCGTCCCACATACAGCAACTAGAAGGATGTGCAGCTGTGGCGTACGGCTATCTACTGGGGCTTTGGGGGAAAAAAATAAATAAATAAATAAAATTATGAAAAACTCCCTAAATTGTCCTTATTTTTCTCATTTCACTTTGGACTGATAGAAATATTATTATTTTAAATAGTAATGTTCCTCTGACTGGCACTTAGGAATCATTCATTTATATATTATTTATATAATAAAAGTCATAAACAAGCCCAACAGAAGGAAGGCTCCATGAGGACAAGCTTTCATTGTTTTCTGTTTTTTGCTGCATTCCTCAATGCCCAGAATAGGGCTTGGCATATAGTGAGCATGTGATACATATTTGCTGAATGAATTAATTTTGAAACAACAGACTATCCCAGGTCATACCTTTTGAACCGGTGAGACCATTTCAAGGAATATAACCAAAAAAATAAGTGAAAAAGAAAAGAAATCATTTGTACAAAAACAAAAATAACATCTCTTCCTAGTGCACTCTAGTTTATAGAAGGCTTAATCTTTGAACCTTAATTAATCTTTGAACCTTAAACAGTCCAAAGTGATAGGTACTGTACAATCCTCTCCACTTTACAGATGAAGAAACAGAGTCTCAGAGAGAATAAACACCCCAAGAAGATGTTTATAGATGAGTCATCTTT